TGCACACCTTGAGTAAAAATTTTGACCCCAGGTGACCTATGGTCAGGTCACCAGGTCAGGTCAAGTGACCCTACCTCGAAACGTAAATTTCGAAGTTTGCAATCCCACCAAGCCCACAGTTGTCGAGATATGATCTTGAAACCCACAGGAAATAGTAAAGTCATCACGAGCTACAACTTGTATATCTCGGAATTTTTATATCGATGACCTAAGGTCAGGTCATTTTTGCGACCGGCCCATTATAAGTCAATGGGAGAAATTTCAACTTACTCTGAATGCCATCCTATGACTTCAATACGCTCAGGATCATAGTATTACAGGTCCCTGTTGGTGATTTCACCGAAACATATCACTTATGACCTTTGGAAGGTGATCTCCAGGTCATCTTAGGTCACCTGAGGTCACCAGCGGTTTTTCTTCAATAACTTGAGATTGAGTAGAGATAGAGACTCCGTTCGACGTTTATCGTGTTTTTCTCGTCAATGCGGATCGAATGATATGCAACATGACCTATTTCGGTCAGGTCATGACCTTGACCTGAGGTCAAATTTTCAACTTGACCTTTCGAGGTCATATTATATATCATTCGATGCTCCTTGACGAGCTAAGAACGATGGCGTTCGAATCGATCCTCTGTCTTGTGTGCAAGACAAGTTATTCAAGAAAAACTACCGCGAAATTCCTGTTGTGAAAATCGTAACATTTTGTCTTCGGTGACCTCTGGTGACCTCGTTTTTGACCTGACCCAAAAATGATCTTAGTATTTCTTGTCGATCTCATCTTAACCTATCCAACGCCGTTCACCGCTTGTCGCTACGTTGCGCCGTTTTCGAGATCTCAGGGGGGGTTGTTTTCAACCCCCCCCCCCCTGCAGTTCGTGTTCGGCTCAGACCCGCTGCAGTGCGCGTGTTAAAATACCCATCAAATATTTTGTTTGCAGTGTTCTGAAAGGTGCCTAATTACGACCCTAATTCCTCTTTGCGACCTACCTCCCTACAAAAAAACAGGCAAGAGAAATCGGGGTAAAAATAATGTCAAAAGGCGAGCCATACTTTGGTTATCAAACTAAATTATTTTTCGGTTGTCCGTGTTTCTGGTGGGACGTTTCAGGTGAGTTTAAATAAAAATGGGGAGTTCCTTATTCAAAACGTGTGTATTTAGGCCCTCTCTGATGAAGAGCAATGCACATTAAGATGATGCACCTTTTTTATTCTGAATCGCCAATCCTTTTTCGATTGATTGTCATTTTCCCATAGTGAATCGTTTATCTGTGCACTGCATGGTGGTAAAAAATGTTTCGCAACTCTGAACTCATATTTCCTATTTGCGCCCGACATGGTCGCAAATAGCTCAAAAAGGAAAAGAAAGAGAGAAATGGAAATGAGGTGTTGCTGAGGCATGCAATGTATGGCGGGGGATGCCAAATGTCGTCACCGACTACGGGGTGCCGAATCCAGCGCGGGCCTCGAATATCATACGAGATAGCCCACAAAATTTAGGTTTTCGCCTTTTTTCACCTTTGGTGCATCACGTGATCAGTTTTACTTGCATAAACGTGTTGGATAAACGTTCCTGTTCCACTGATTGAGCGCTTTGCGCATAGGTTACCTTTTTGGGATCATATATCATCTTTTCAGGCGTCGCAATTTTTGGGCATTTTTATTATGGGAAAGCCCATTGACTTATTAGCGACCCTTCCCTGTCGCTAATCGGGACGAGTTCCCTATAAGCGTTTTTTTTTTTGCAATGGTTTGCCAACATGCTCACTACAAATAAACTAGTGGATATTGGGGCAGAAAATGAATAGATTTTAATAGAAAAATGAACGATCTCTCCGAAAATCAAGCCAGTAATACATTGGCACCCATAAAGCGTGAGCAATGACGGTGCAAATTAAGGGGGTCGCTCATTAGGCACCTTACCCTACGAGGTTGGAGAAAAGTTGTCAAAGCGCGCTATAAACGGCGAAAATTTGACTTTTAATTGTCCTGTGATTTTATTTTTGTGCTAGCCTAAAATCCGACGAATTTTCTCTTATTATGTTTAGCGCTCTTTCAAACGGCGTTGCCACTCCTCGCCACGCAGCTCAGCAGCCGAGCTTGAAAGGGCGTATAACGCCTACTCTACCTCTCGCGTCAATGTTTTCGATAGCGCCACCATCCTGGCGCGGGTTAAGTTGGGGGAGCCTTAAACCGCGCCCCGTTGAGGTCTGGCAGGTACCACGTCCTGTTGGGGGGGCCTTTGGGCCCCCCGTCGTATCTTCGGAACCAATAGCCGGATCGGAAAAATTCAAACGGCAATCGAAAGAGCTCATCGAGATGCACAAGACAGGATATCGATGACCTTGATATTTGACCTGTGACGTCACAGGGAGGTCAAACAAGGTCAAATCAGTCCAATTTGCAGTGGCGAGAAGTCGGTCATAAAAATGAAAGCTAAGTTTTCAAAATGAGTCTGGATATGATGTATATGATAGATCTGCCATGTAGATAGTCACCTGAGTGGATGATGACCTGTGACGTCACAACAGGGGTCAGCCTCGACCAATCAGAAAACACTTTGGTGAATCGTAAGGAAAGGCATGTTAAATTGTGAAAATTCGAGTCATTATGAAGACATGTCATATATATGCATCCACATAAACCTCCTTGACCATTTTTCTTGGACCTATGACGTCAGAGGAAGGTCAAATAAGGTCAAATTGTACCGGTTTACGACGAAAAATATTTTTTTTTACATAAAAGTGACTTTAGTCACGTAAAGGATCATATTCAGTTAGCAAGAGGTTAACAAAAATCATAGATATTACTCCTGACTGATTTAAAGCACAAATACCGAAAATATTATGACGTCATCGCTAATTTTTCAGTCCTTCAAATGGCAATATCTCAGGCAGTTTTAGAGATATTTTGTTAATTTTTGGCATGTATGAGGCCAGTAAGGGGTTCTCTAACACGTATTCCGTTTTTTTTTTAACTTTCCCAAATTACAAAAATATCTCAAGAAAGCTAAATTTTGAGTTAGAAAATCCCTAAATCTAGAGATTTTAATATTTTGGAAATTTCGAGATAGCCATTTTGTTTGCCATACTTTTTTATACCTCCGGTTAAATTTTTGAGTCGCTAAGTTGAAACCCTGACTTTCTGCGATTTTTCTCCGTGAACAACTTTTTCGACGAAAAATCGCCGAACATGACCTCAGTTCGACCTCTATAGCTCGTGACCTGAGATGACCTGGGACCTATTTTTTTTTTTAGGGGTTGTGTAAAATTGATGTCCGGAGAGGTACTGAAAGTTTCAAGTCGAAATTCGCAGTCGGGGGCCCTTTGCCCCCCCCCCCCCCAACGGGTCGCGGGTTAACTAGATATTCTCAATAAAAATGCTGACTCAAAAATGTATGTGCAATCTTGTGAGAGAAAAATGAAAATCGGCTGATAACTTTTTGAGGTATGGGCATGTTAACCCGCGCCCCACTGGGGTCTGCGTATAACACGCCCTACTGGGGGGGGGGGGGGCTATTCATAGCCCCCCTCCTAACTCCGAAACTACTGGGCCGATCGTCAAAATTCCAACGGCGTCTGATAGCCCCGGAAAAACTGTCAAGCGAAACCTAATTTCATTGACCTCGAGGTCACCGATGACGTCACAGGTCAGGTCAAAGTAAAAATTATTAGCATTTTGGCTTGTTCACGTTTTGGGCTGTGGCCGCCGTCTTACAAGTCAGATCAGGCTCATTTTTGGTTCACACACTCGTGAACAGATGCTCTAGATACCCTGAGGGTACCAAACTTTTACTTTGATTTTCGGGTCAAGGTCATGTCATCACAGGTCACGAAAATATTATATCATGCGTCGGTCACGTGACACATGTTTTATGGTCCATTTAGGCCAAAGATTTCAAATTTGATGTCTTCTGTGTCATTCGAGGTCATTTTGAGTCGAATTTAGCTTAGGTCAGGTCACTTTCAGGTCACAAAAGGTCAAATTTTGAAGTTATAATGTTTCAACAGAAAAGGTGTCTATTGGATGCAGTTTGAGCTCAGGAACACGATGGTGCTATTTATATTGGCGTACGATGTCAAATACGTGGTGAAAATTGATTTGAAAAATTAATAATTGTGAATTTTTTGCATTAATGCGTATAACTTGGCCATTTTTGGATATTTAGCTTAAACTTGCTAGAGTTAGTCATAATAACGCGTTCTATCACATATATTCCGGTTTTTCGAAAAGTCAAAAGCTTTTTGAAAAAAAATGTAAAAATGTAAATTTTGAATTTTATTATATTTTTTTTTCTCGAAATTTTCAAAATTTCGAAAATCCAAGATAGCAGTTTGATTGCGCAGTCTATTCTGAGTCCTCTCATGCAAAGTAATTGGATCTAGCTTAAAAACTGAGCCCTTGGGAGCGATTGCCGTGGTTCAATGTTTTGCGTCGAAATCGGCCGAACATGACGTCACTCTGACATCATTTCCGGCCGACCTATGGTAGCTACGAAGTTCAAATTTTGACACAAGGTGTCAAATTGATGTAGCCGAAGGTACTGAAAGTTTGGCGTCGATACGTCAAGCGGTTTGGAAGTTATTGCAGAAAACGGGAGGGGGGGGGCTATAAATAGCCCCCCAAGTGGGGCGCGGGTTAACACAAAGTAAACCCTTATCTGGCAAATCTAACAACGGTTGACCTCATTTGACTCAAGGATTAGTTCGCTTTCCTGAAATCAGTTTTTCTTGCGATGGTTTTATTATTTTTTATGCTCAAAATGATCATAAAATAAAATCAACCTTTTTAAAAAGGATTATTCTCTATATTTTAATGTAGGAATAACTACATTCTATATAAAATAATCACAAGCACAACTTAGAAGGTACCCAGGCCCACAGCCACCCACTCAACCAGTGAATCAAAATTTGAAGAAAGAAATAATTCAGCACGTACAAATGTTGATGACGACGAAATAAGCTGTGTGAGGTGACACTACTCACACGGCCGCTGACTTACCTGGTGGGACACGTAGAAGCCCTCAGTGGGAGACTCGAGATCGGCCCACTTGCGCTGCGCCTCAGTCCAGCTGCAGCCCCGCTCCACGTTCACCGTGTGCAGCTCCGTGCGGCCCGTGCCCGTGGCGTGCTTGTGCAGGTATACGCGCAGCTTGGTGCGTCGCACAGATCCCTCCTGCGAGCCCAGGTCTGCGGACCCGCCGGCCATTCGAGCGGTCAGACAGACAGCCCAGTAGGCCGCCCGCCCCACGCTCCGAAACCCGCCAGCCACACATTCCAAAGCCGACAACCAAACAGGCGCTTTATAGTCCTGCAGCACCAAACAATGGCTTTGGAAAGTGGGAGCAGTTCAGACTGGTCTTAACACAGCGTTATGATTGATCTCCCTAGACAGTTAAGACTGGACTCCGTCAGTGGCGCAGCCAGAATTTCGTTTCGGGAGGGTCATCGCCTCCAAAGCGGGCCCCCTAGTGTGCGGGCCCCCACCCATTTTTCAGAATCTCTCCATATTTCATACGCATTCTGCTGAGCGGGCCACCTTTACCTGCACGATAACCCTGAGCGAGTTTGCTTTAGAAAATTTGGATAGCTTGGTAATCACGCGGTGTTCAATTTTTACGCAAATTGACCACGACAGAAATACGTTACTATGACGTATGAATTCGTATCTTTCGAGGCCAAAATGTGCCCCTTTCGTAATTTGCAAAGCTTATATGCAATCGACACTGTTGCCTGCTTATGTCGGACAAGATTTAAGCAGTCCCATGTGCCTGTCCTAAGTCATCTATTGGCTGCTGTAGTAGATTGTGCTTTATCCTTCTTCATTACGTGAATTCGCTCACAATAAGTTTAAACCCTCGCCGGCACAGGGGGGGGGGGGGGAGGGGTTGATGCAACCCCTCTAAGGTATTTCCGCGAATAACTCGCGTAAAAGCAGCTGATCGCGACGTAACTTTCAGTACCCTCGCGTTGATCAATTTTACACCTAACCTAGAAACCTAATGACCCTGACCCAAATGAATTTGACCTACTTTCCGAGACCATGTTTGGCCAGAATCGCGGTTCGGCGTATGCCGGCACGCATTAGCCGCGCGTTTGCAGTCCTTTCGTGGTTTCAAGCGTTCAAACATGTGATTTGATGTTGCTCCCATGCATAAGGATGGATGTCAATGTCACCTGAAGGTCAGGTCAGGTCACTGACCTATGATGACCTCGGTACACTTTTTCAAGTTATGCATGTTCCTAAGGTAGTTTTTTTGGAGCTGAATTCCATATTAGCAACCATTTGAACATTTAAGAAGTAGTTTTGGTGCCTTCGTAGCATGTTACGAAGCTGTCAGAGGTGGTTGACACGTAGGCACGGGGACCCGCAGTTGCTACTGTACACGAACCCCAAGTCTAACCGTCTGTCCTGTCCAGTAACAACCGATAACATTGATATCGACTGCTGGTCCCTGTACAAGAGCAGCTGAGGTTTTCTGTGCGTGCCCTCTGACAGCTTATCGTTGTTCCCTGTGTGGGTGCTGGGACGGACGATGGACTCAGGGTACAATGTACAGTAGCAACTGCGGGACAGTAGCAATTGCGGGTCCCCGTACTACGAATACACGGCAGGACCCCCACTTGTTGACCTGACCATAATTTTGAATTGAAATCAGTCGATTATTTCCTTAACTGGAACAAGAAGTTAACTTTTTTCACCACAAATAAAATACAAATGTTTGATTTAGCAGTGTATGCTAAGGAAGCGCACTTTCACTTTTCAGATTGCAGGAAAATGCTGAAATAAGATCTGAGTCAAAATCATTCGAATATAAGTCCGACATCGAGTCAGCCTAAAAATGCGTAAAGGACACAGTCATTGCTGTCGCTGAAGCTGACTTGCCCGTAACATAAAATCCACGCCTGAAATTAACACCGGGCAAATTGCCCCACCCCACCGGCCAAATAACCCTGATAGCGGGCAATTTAGCCGCTTTGCAGACCTTTGTAAAACGTTAAAATTCAGGCACAAGTAGTTGCTCTATTATTTTCAGCTTAGTGCAAGGGCTCCGTCACGACCCGATGGTTGGGGAGATGAGGGCCGTTTGAAGTCGATTCTTTCCATGCAGCATCCATAGGCATAGTGATGGGGGGGGACAAGTCCCCCCGTCACCCCCCCCCCCCGGTGGCGGAGCCCATGGCTTGCTGTATAAGAAAGTAAAATGAATGCTACACCTGCCAGCCTTGAGAGAGTGCAGAAGTATGTCACCAATTTCGAGCTACAGCGCTTCCTAAAAAAGCGGCCAAATTACCCCATCCTCCCCTACCAAAAACCGAGCCCGCTCCTTGGGCCACTTGACCTGCCTCAGAGGTCACCGGTTGTCTTGGGACCTTGAAATCGGGTACCAATCGCTGAGTCTCGTAACGGCGCATACGATCGTTTCAGCAAAGATTCTCTTGCGTTAACTTGACTTAGGGGCCAGGCTTGTTTCGTAGGCTGAACCACAAATAGGGGCGTGGTAAGCTTCAAAAATATTTCAAGGCATTTTGGAAATAAGCTTAAAGGCCCATAGCCTACGCAAGATATTGGGTATTGGTCATTTGGGTCATGACATGACCTGAAGAACAAGGTCATATCACCGAAACCAAAATTGAAATTTTAATTGGACGCTGAGAACGGATAGAGAAGCAACTATACGAAACATCAGGGTTCTAGCTTTTAAAATATTTAGTTAAGAGCAGAAAAAACTACCTGGGGGTGGTAACCACCCACCATGTGCGGGCGAGGGCTAAGTGGTTCGTAGAAAACCGAGAGGAATTTCATCCAACTTCATAATTTGCCGTGATTTAGCTACTACTACGTGGTCTAGGTAATCCGGTAGTTGAATCTCTCACTTATTTTTTATTCTGTAGGCATTAAACATTTTGCGTTTCTAAATTTATATGCTGTTTTCCATTTTTAACAAAATAATGAAAATATCACTTGAAGGACAGCATTACGCGCAGCGTAATAAATCAATTTTCTTTAAAATCGGCCCAGTAGCGGCCGAGTTATTGCCAGAATAAATTTGGTGACTCCTCCTGGCCGGCGGTGCCCTGTTCCGGTATTCATTGCCAAAGGTCAGTGACCTTCCAGCTCTGATTTCGCTCAGTTTTGCAAGCGAAGAAACGGAGCCTACGGCACGTGCTCACTGCTCGGCGCCGGCCGCGGCCCAAAATGCTGCAAAGATGCGCCCGCCACGTGCACACCGCTGCACGCACCCCCTCGAAAAGTTGATACGACAAACGGATGCACGCGTCCGACTTACGTTCAAAATTTCACCGTTCAAAATTTATGGCCGAAATGGACCATAAAACATGTGTCACATGACCAATGGATGATATTAAATTTCCGTGACCTAGGATGACCTAGCCTTGAGCTGAAAAAAAATGAAGTACAAATTCGGTACCCCTAGGATACCTTAGGCATATATTCACGAGTGCGTAAACCAAAATGAGCCTGATCTGACTTATTAGCTGGCGGAAGAGCCCAAATTGTGAACAAACCAAAATGTTGATAATTTTTACTTTTACCTGACCAGTGACATCATTGGTGACCTCCAGGTCAATAAAATTAGGATTCCCTCGACAGTTTTTCCAGGGCTATCAAACGCCGATTGAATTTTGACGATCAGCCAAGTAGTTTCAGAGATAGGAGGGGGCTCTGTAGAGCCCCGTCCCCTCGTCATTCGCGTTATGGAAAATACCCCAGCCATGCGCGGGTTACCGCAGCCGTGCGCGGGTTCAGCATCTTCACATGTGCTTTAAGCCTGGCCGCAGCCAGAGCATCTGATCTAGCATAAGGCGCCAGTAGTATGCCGATACCGCAGTAGGGCTACACACCAAGGATGCCCATGTCGTAGCGGCCCGTCTTCTTGGCCTGCGTGACGATAGCCGACAACGTGTCGGTGAAGTACTTGAAGAGCCTATTCTGAAGATCCACCGGCATTCCCAGGATCCTGGAAAAAAAAAACGACCCCAGAGGCCAGGGTGAGAGCGTAAGTCGTGGTCACAAGTAACCAACCATCTATCCGGGAAGCGTATTCCCCAAATCATAACTTAACCAAACCTATTACCTAAGCCCATGTACTACATGACCTATTATACCAGTCGGCCGAACAATAGCGAATGACCTATTATACCAGTCGGCCGAACAATAGCGAAGCCTCTTGGGTGACGTCATAGCACGCATCCATTGAGGATAACTTGAACTTGAACATTATTTAACTGACGTCTGATAATATTATGATAAATTATTATATTTGCATTGAATTTGACGCTTTTCGGAATTTGTTTTGTGGGTTAGGCCGTTTCGGTCCATTGAGACCACTGCAGAGCCGGAAGGATGATAGGAATTAGGGGGAGACATTGGTCTGGTCAGGCACCCTAGAAAGTCACCGGGGCTGACCCGTCCAAATGGACAGGCCGACCAGCCCCCAAGCACTCTCTGCACCCGGCTACGGGTTGCGCCAGTGTGGCCAAATCCATTTTGCGTTTGGGGGAGGATGTAGACAAAACCGCCAGAGGATGTAACTTTTTTTTTTTTGAAAAATGGACTACTGATTTTTTAAAGTTCTAATTTCCATAGAAAATGTGGGAAATGGCCTTACCAACATTCAGTACTGATGTATCTTAGAAGAAAGCACTTCAGTGATACATATGTAGAAATAACCAGGGCACTAAAGAGTCGGGTACTCCAAAGTTTTCCCTAGTATATACTAGAATCATACTACATCATCTAGAAAAACAACTAGAACTGAGAGGTTACAACTATATACCGAAAATTATCCCAGGATATGGCTGCGCTCAAGCGCGGCGCAGCTGGCGCTCGCGTTTCGATACATTGCGCGTAATATTTATACACAATACGGCCTATGGTTTCGCGCGGGGTGTTCATTGGTGTTCTCTCTTCATTTAAAGACTTAAGAATTGTGCTGGCTAAGTATCAATAACTATCGTATGCATAAAAATCAGCTCTTCATCATGCATGGAAAAGTCTGAAAGGGCTTTCTGGGCAGTTGTGTGCAAATCTGCAAACTGCTGAGTGCTGAGCTTGAATTTTGATTTGGGTGATGGGCCAGCCTCATGCTTTCTCATTCTCTCACTGTTACTTAACAATGTGCTTAAAAAAAGGTTAAGTGAATTTTATCAAAGGACACCTGAAGACATCTTTCGATTTAACTTGAGCACGGTTAGTATAATTGTATTGCAAGGATTGTTTACGCCAGCTTTATCTTGCTCTACTTGCAATCGTAGCTTACCTACGAACAATATTTGTGTAGGCATTTTCTTTTCTATTTTGGTCGTTTGTATGCATTTTTAGAGCTCTGACAAGCTGACGAAGGAAGACTGAAGTCTTCCAAAGCTATCATTACTAAGAAATAAAGCTGGTCTTTTGAACAAACCTAATAATATCTGTCAACAATAACTGTCCCAGATGAATGCCTACCATCAGCGTGTAACATCATACTTTGTGTAAGTATCTCGTTCAACTGTGTTGGTACGATAATGAAATCAAAACACATGCATTCTATATCCGGGTGAAAGTGGATAGTATGTAAAAAGTAGCATTTGTTGCCACTTGTTAGTGATAATCATGCAACATCTTGTAATTTTAAATTAAGTGAAATAATGTAAAATTTAGTTGATTGAAACTAAACATGGAAGATAATTTTTAGGTCAATTTTTAGTTCTCTTGCCGTTCTTGATATTCCACTTAACTCACATACCAGTTTAAAAGTTATTTCAGGGCTTTCACAATAGCCATGTCTTTGTGGTCAATCATCCTCAGGGCAGCTTGAATCAATTTCATTCATTACTTCCCTAGCTAAATACCTCTGATCCTTTTTCAGGATAAGACCTGCACCTCGAACCTCGAGTGAATGCTTCCTCAAACAAAGCTAACCAAAGGTGCCATCAGCTGTATAAATCAGAACAGGAAGGAAGCTGAGCTTTCAACATAGGCGCCAGCTTGTGTGAACTTGTGGCTTTCAGGGTGTGCACCGCCCACCCAGTGTTCATTTCCGTAAACATCAAAAAATGTGTGACCACAAAGGGAAACCCTTATGAAGGTATATCTCTCGACCTTATAGATTCTAAGATCCCCTTAACCTTCAACTAACCAAGATTAACAGGTCACTTAAATAGCCATGCATTACTCCTCTGATAATGCTTTTTATGTTTTCAGATAGGTACACGTTCTTTCATCCTGATTTTTGAAACATAAGTACCACCTGAATTTGTTTTTAGTGCAAGTGTGATTCATGTAATTTCATCTTGATGTGTTCCCGATGGAAGATCCTGCTCGCAGCTATGCCTCATTGCCTACCATGGCCAAAACTTTTTTGAGAGGGTTACCAAAGTGTTCTCTATCTTATGTGTTGAGGATGAGCTGTATCTTGTGATCAATGTTTAACTTTAGTGTAACACCGTGACATCTTTCAATGCCAAAGTTTATTTGTAAAGAGCCAAAGTTAATTTGCATTGGAACGAGCGGTAATGTGATGTGTGGAACATGTAATTTGCACGATTGGGAACCACTTACTCTGTAACCTAAAGTGGGATGTTTACATATATGAGAATGTTCAGTGTTCATCGTCGATAGATAATAAAAGCATTAGCATACCAGTATATGGATTGGTCGGTGGTCGTCCAACATAATATCAGAGCTGCAATTTTGACACCATCGTGTTCGTCATGCTCAGCCACGTCGAATGATATGCTTTTTGTATGGGTGAGGTCAATTTAGGATGTTCCAAGGTCAAGTCAGGTCATGACCTCATGATAAGGTCAAGTTGCACATGATTCAATTCGGCAGGTCTTTCTGAGTCCATTCGTGTCTTTTCCGTCTAAGATCACTGTCAGCGCCAAAACAACTCTTTATTCCCCCTTTGGCTTATAGGTAATGGTCAGATCACCTGACCGACCTGACCTTACGTGACCCTTAGGGGAAATCCGAAGCTAACAACTTTTGAAAATTAGGGAGTTTGATCAGTTCTGTAAGTTTCATCTACCTGTGATAGATCTCCTTGCATTGATGGAGTTACTGATGTTGCGACGTCTTCGAGACCGTGCAGAGGTTAACTTATGACGCCACAGGTCAGTGACCTGACCTGACCTGAAAATGAGGTTGGTGCCACAAAATCCGGCTTGAATCAAAGGTCAGGTATACCAGCTTACAACTCTCCATCACCAGCGCGCTTACCCCTACTTTGCATTGCAGCCATCATGGTTTGCCGCACATTTACGATAAAAGTTTTGGTCTGTCCGAGATTCGAACACAGGACCTTCGGATGTGTCAAAAACATGGGGTCATATATGGACGAATATCTCGAAAACGGTTGGATGGGCTTGAACTTTTCGTCCCAAAAATGGAAATGAAAATGTTGTAGCTATCTTTTAACATACCTTATACGTGGCTGCCCACACTACGAGACCTTGAAAACCGAGCGCAAAAAGTCTCATTTTAACACGCAACCCTATGGGCTAGTAGGAAAAGTCACGCCCATGCTGCCATATGACTTTGGAGGGGGCTGGAAATAACAATCCTTTTTCAGACAATCGTTAAATAACAACTTCAACAGCCACTGGTCATTGGCCAACCACCACCTTCCCGATGCTGATTCTCCTTACTCTATTCCAGGTATATTCCTCATCCATTCCTGAAAGAAGATCGCGAGCCTTCCAATTTCCAAGCATTCCTGTCATCATCGTGAACCTACAAATCCATCAAGATCCCTCTGCCAGATGACCTCGGACACCGACGTCTGCTCCCCGAAGATACAGCTGCGCATACTGCATATTCACGTTTGATAAAATGTAAATGCGTAGTGCTGTGTTTAATAGGTTACTCTCGAATCAATCGAATTAATCGACTATACGACCATTTCTTAATCAGTTATTGCATCAACATTGCATCAGTATAAGAATCAGAATTGCATCAATTATGAGAACTAAGAAAAGTTATCACTTATATGAAATGTTGACCGATATGGCCAGTGGCCAGTACAACTCCCGATGTCATCCTCGACATTAATATCTTAGTGCATATCCCAGAGTCCAACCTCAACTGTGATCTTGGGTTCAATGTGTGCGATGAATCTACTCATTACTGTATGTAGTAACGGCCACTGCGGGAAAAATAAAACGCAATAAGGTACCGAAACGCGCATATCACCGATCTTTTTTGGGTTGGGTAACACTGAACTAGAAGAGTTGGTCGAACGGATGAGATGAGCACATTTTGTCACCGTTCTATCGCTGGCCAGATTGCAAATCCATAGTCCAGACGAGACAACATATGTCGACGAGCTGCACCAACCAAGGTGATGAGTCCGCACCAGCCTACACAAACAGAGCTGGAAAAACACACCTACATCTAGCAAGACCTAGAGCTATTACTGAATAGCTCATATAATATTTACCAGCCTATCACACTTTTCTAGGGGAAAACACCATAGCCGGTCATTTCGACGCGTTTTTTCCAAACCATGTATCTGTTTTCCCGCGAATTCAGTGCCGGGAAGCACGAAAGATCCCATTTAAAAATTCCAATTATTTATTATTCGATCCTGATCAAGTATGTGAGCATGTGAGCTTGTTCTGACATTGCTTCATCTGCTGAGACAGACAAACTTCAGAAAACAGTCACTGTATTTTTTAAAGTTTTTTTTTTCAACCTGTCGGAAATTTACGGGAGAACAGATATGGAGTTTGAGAGAAAAAAAACACGGCAATTTATTCCCTGCTCAACCCGTTGTGGGTCCCATAGTTCATAATATCATTTCCTTGTCCTAGCACAATAGGGTATGTGCTCACTGCTCAGTCTCACACCGAAGTTCACGATACCATGTTGGTTGGGCAGGAAAAAACAATCGTACCACATGACAGTGGATCAGCTGCGCTGCACAACACACCAGCGTCTAGCTGAGTGCATTCACGCCGACATCTCATCGAGATT